GCCATATCTTCGATTTTGTCTTTTTGAACGAGTGATTTGCAGAATGAATTAAAGATGACGAAAGTAACTACACGTGTTTTATCTTTCATCAAATCAACAATTAAAGAATAAATTCTACTGAACTTTTCTGGAATTTACACAGAATAATGTCCGATAACTATCCCTTGCCTCTGTACTAAGTTTTGCCAATTCTGGTGGTTTTTTTTGCTCCAGAGATATGTCTATTCCGATCACTTCAGCCGCTGAAGCCGGAACTCCACTGTTAAACAACGACGTTGTTCATGGCTCCGTCGACTTCAAAGGTCGCCCGGTTATCCGATCAGGATCTGGAGGTTGGAAGTCAGCGTTCTTCATCATAGGTACGTTTATTGTAATCTGTATACACCTAATGCTACCACAATTTCACACGGCAAAATAGAATTTTCTAACAACATGGGTGCAACAAACTAATTGTTTTCCTTAGCTTAGCAACTTGAGATAGATTAGAGTTTTGTTGATTGTTTGTTTATTTATCAGGTGTTGAAATGGCTGAGAGAAGTGCGTACTATGGAATACTTTCAAATTTGATAAGCTATTTGACGGGTCCATTAGGCCTATCCACCGCAACAGCAGCGGCAAATGTGAATGTGTGGACTGGAACGGCCATGCTTACACCGCTTTTGGGTGCTTTCTTGGCCGACTCTTTTCTCGGTCGATATCGAACCATTATTATTGCCACCGGGCTCTATATCCTGGTCAGTTCAAAAAGATTTACACGAAAATTGGCATAATTATTCGTTGATATGTTTACTCTTTCCAGCTTTTAAATTAACTGTAATGATAGATAGACTTATGCAAGATATTTCATTGGAATTATATGTCAATCTACAAAGCTTTTAGGAGTGTTGGTTCAACTGCACAAAAAGATGTGATAATTCATAATTCTGTTATCGTCAATAGATCTGAGCATAAATATGCACTTCTCCAGCAGATTGGAAGTTTATCAGATTGAGTAAAAGGGTTGAAATTTGTCCGTGAAGGTTACCAAATTATATGTTCTGATTTTGTCAATTGAATTGGCATATCAATTTATTTTTTAAACTTTCAAGTTTGAAAAACTTTTAAACTTTAACATGTTTTTCCATGATGCAAATGCATTTACTTGGTTGAGCTTTTGATAGTTGGCCAGTTAGTTGCTGGAGTTTTCTGTACGTTAAAACAAATTTTGGATTCATTATCGGGTCCAGTGCTCATTTGCTGAATCATTTTGAAAAAATATGAATAATCACAAAAGGAGCGAGAAGATGAAAATTTCTTGCCGACAGAATGATTTTAGGTAATTCATTTGTATTCTATATTGTCCTCGGAACAGATGGAGAGAAGGACTTCGATTTCGAGATTGATTTTGAGCAGTTCTGTCAATCACTTCATTAACGCGAAGTATTTCCTTAGTACATAACATTCTTGAAAATGCTAATCTTCATGGAGATGCAAATCATGTTTTTTCTATTGTTATGATCTCAGGCACTTGGCGTTATGTCCATATCTGCTGCTGCTTATTCATTCAAATCTTCCGACTGCCAAATTACTGCAGAAAATCTCAAGGCATGCTCTCCGCCACAGTTTCAAGTTATTTGCTTCTTCTTCTCATTGTATATATTTGCACTAGCACAAGGTGGGCATAAACCTTGTCTTCAGGCTTTTGGAGCTGATCAGTTTGATGAGCAAGACCCAAAAGAGTGTGAAGACAAAAGCTCCTTCTTCAATTGGTGGTGTTGTTTCATGAATACTAGTGTTATAGTGGCTCTCTATGTTTTGAACTACATTCAAGACAACCTAAGTTGGAGTCTTGGCTTTGGAATCCCGTGCATTGTCATGTGCCTCGCCCTAATTATATTTTTGCTTGGAACTATGACCTACCGATTTCGCTCACAGAGCGAAGAAATAAGCCCATTTGTGAGAATCGGTCGAGTATTCCTAAATGCAGCCAGAAACTGGCGGGCTACCCCGGCAGAAATATCCAAGGAAGAGGATGCTCAAGGTATTCTGCCTTATCAAGGCTCTCAACAGTTCAAGTAAGTCAACTACCATTTTTTGCATGTATTTTGATATTTAAGAGGACAAAATGCCTCTTGACCTCGCTTTTGTACACATATGGCTTCTTTGGTAAAATTTATCATGTAATACCCAGCAACGTTAAGGAAGAAAATGAAACTAAAATTTATCCATAGCACTATCCAGTAGAGAGTTGAGAACTTGCCCTTAAATTTCTATTAATTAGTCCCAATTACTTTGCATTCAACGGGATAGACAGTATCTGTGCCTGCATTATCCAAGTTCACTAGTGTTTATTGACGTTGATTCTTTATGAGAATTACCATATATTAATGGATAAATTTTCGTCAGGAAACTAGGTAGACATTTTACCTTCTAACCTAGAACAATGAAAAAAAATACTCTGGTATCCTTGTCTCTAATAAATCTTTGTTTTATATGATCATAATAATGGTATGAATTATTAGGAATTTAGACTACTTATTCCGCCAAATCAGCGGAAGAGAAATATATTATTTGAACTGAGAAGAAATAAAAGACACAAAAATAAGAAAAAGTACAAGGGTTTAACGTTGTTCAGAAATTGTGCCTATGTCCACAGGCCCACGCCATATCTTTTTTCACCATATGAACGAAAGAAATAAGAATACAAAGAAAAATGCTGATTGCATTTTGCATTTTTCTAGCCTATGTTTCTCGTAAATTCCCTCTTTTTACTCTCTACAGAAGTCAAACTCTTTGTTTCTGGCTCTCTGCACATCACTTTCACTCTTGCAATTTTTCATCCACCCAGCTACTCTATTTTTACACGTGTTTGGCTCCATCAACTAATTATAATACATGCACTATTTACATCGAATGCCTCGACAAAATTTGCACCTAACCATGCATTCCTCAATCTTGCTAGAAACCATTGGAAGACTTTTGAATGTGAACCACCCATAATCATCATTAGGCTCCACTATTCAATATCAACCTAATTCTGTTTCATTATAGTATTTTTGGTTTGTGACAGGTTTCTTCATAAAGCATTGCTTGTACCTGATGGTTGGGAGGAAGAAGGGAAAGTTTGTAGTATCAGTGAGATTGAAGAGGCAAAGGCGGTTCTCAGGCTTGTTCCAATATGGACTACTTGTTTGGGATATGCTATTATATATTCACAATCCTCGACTTTATTCACCAAGCAGGGAGTTACAATGGATCGTCATATCACGTCTAGCCTACAAATACCAGCTGCTTCTTTTCAATCTTTTGTCAGTGTTGGCGTTGTTGTCTTTATTCCAATCTATGACCGTATTGTGGTTCCAATTGCAAGATCCATAACTGGGAAACCAACCGGCATAACAATGCTTCAACGAATTGGAACTGGAATACTTTTATCTTTTCTTTCCATGGTAATTGCTGCTTTGGTCGAGAGGAAACGTCTAGAAACTGCTGTTGAATATGGATTGGTGGACATGCCTAAAGCAACAGTGCCAATGAGCGTGTGGTGGCTGCTACCACAGTACTTGCTTTTCGGGATTGCCGATGTATTTACCTTGATTGGGCTTCAAGAATTCTTCTATGACCAGGTTCCTAAAGAATTGAAAAGCATTGGTCTTGCTCTATACCTTAGTATATTTGGCATAGGAAGTTTCTTGAGCAGCTTTCTTATCTCTGCGGTGGAGAAAGTCACTAGTGGCTCGGGTCAAGATGGTTGGTTTTCAGACAATCTTAATCGGGCTCATCTTGACTACTTCTATTGGCTACTTGCCGGTCTTAGTACTGCTGCATTCGCTGCCTACTTATACTATGCAAAATCTTATATATACAATCGAAGAAAGAGCCTTTGAAGTTGCATAGAAACACTACCTAGACAAATAAGATGTTTTCTGCAAAGTCTAATCGAGGAGTTTGATACAATCTTTAGTTACCATCTTAGCTTTTCAATAAGAGCAACATGTTTGTAATGATAACAATATTTCATTTTTAGGCACGAGGGAAACTAAGTTCATCAAAGACAACATGTCTTGACATGTATAACCTCAAAAGTTAGTGCTGGAAGCATGGGAAACTCAACTCTATAATCAGTTCGCAAGGTTAGCATTTATTTATTTGAAACAACTGCTTGAGACATATAAACAAACAAGAAAATTTTATGCACCATTTGAACCCTGTTCACTGCAAACTAGGCCCAGTACGCTCATTCTGGTAAAAATAGGAAATCACGTTCAAATTTTTACTTTGTTAAAATACAGTGTGACTTGTCATTAAAAAGAAATAATATGTAACATGAATAAATTTGCAGGTACAAGAAAAATCCCACAGATTTTGCACACGAGCCTCCTGTGCAAAATCTGTGAGATTTTTCTTGTACTTATAGCATTGTTCATGTAACATTGTCTGGGAAGTTGTAAAAGTCAAACTTGTTGGATGTTTATGTTCAAGCGACTATACTTATGTAGAACAGAACGTAGTAAGTAGGGGTTAAAAAAAGGAGTCAAGTTCATGAGACACAACAATCGAGATAAACAAAAATAATGTTCTAGAAAAAAAATTGAATTTCAAAGTGTGCGACCTTTTCATTACATAAGTGACACGTCATTTTATTTTCTAATATAAGACTCTAATTCACATTTGACCCAATAAAAATAAAACTAATAGCTAAATATTAGTTTAAGTTCTTATAAACATATTAAGAAGTTCGCCATATATTTAAAAAAGTTAAATCACATAAAACCTCAATAAAATAATAATGTTGGAACCGAGAAAAATTATTATTTTAGAGGGATTATTAATTTATCGATAAATAAATAATTTTTTCATTTTATTGATAAATAAATATTATTAATTTATTGGTAAATGAATATTTATTAATTTACAGAGTATTTTACTATAATATATGCAAGAATTTTTTTTTTAAAAAAAACATTGAATGTGATGAAATTCAAAATTTAATCTATAGGAACATAAATATGTGCACACATACACTAAAGAGGAAACGTTCATGTACATGCATTGATTTCAAAGTTTATTTCTTGAAAGATTAATCCTTTAAGTTATTTCATGTACACATGAAACATAGTTTTTGCAATCATTAATTTTAATTTGAGACCCTCAATCATTCCAAATTTCTTACATTTTTCTACCATGACATCTCATTTGCAAAAAAGGTACAAAATGAAAAAATATATATACCAATTGCAGTAGGTGCATTGCATAATTAGGGACGAAGCTGAGTTTGGCTTGGGTGCAAAGGAAACTTAAAAGACTTTAAATTCATATTTTGAAAAATAGACAATTAAATATATTTTTTTGGTCAAATTAGAAGTTTGTTAATTTATATTAATATAAACTTTTATGAATTTTGAAGAAGTTATTATTTTATATATTCATTAGGCATTAAAGAATCTCAAAAAAAAAAAAAAAATTATTATTTTAGCAGAGTTATTAATTTAGTACACTGATGATTCAAGTCAGGACCAAAAAATATTATTATTGTAAACGAGATTATTAATTTATCGAACATTTATTTATTAATATTTTACTATACATCACGTGTGACCTTCCAACTAATAAGTTTCCATCATATTACTTTCTAATACATAACATTGACAGAAAAATAGCTAACCATGCAAAATCGTAAAAAATTTTCAAGCCACCACCAGAAAGCAAAACGCCAACACCAGGGATGTAGCCAGGAATTTACTCTTGGGGGGGCGAAAATACGGGGGTGGAGGGGGGCGGGCCCCCCTTCGGGGGATTCGGGGGCGGAGCTCCCGAAATTTTTTTTTAACTAAGAGGATTCAAAATGACAATTTTGAGTACCAAAATAGGCAAGTTAAAT